GTGCTAAAAACACGATATATTGACCATATTCTGGCATGAATTTATCCATACCTTATTTCTCAGTGTGGTGTTTCCAATATAAGAAAAGCAAGATTGATGAGATATTTGATTGATATCTTATGCATTCTTGTCAACAATAGGATCCTTAAGATCAGATAATTTACTAACAATTAAAATCAACGTTTCAAAATAATCTTCATTTTTAAAAGTAATAAATCCAAAATTATGAAAAATTAAAGTATGTTCAATCTTATTTTTGCAAGCAAAAGGAATATTCTCCCTAAAAGGCAAAAGAAATATCTAGCTTGACATTTGTAATAAGCATTTCTAATAACTGCTCGAGTACAATCAAGTTAAATCAAGATAATGGTTTATTTTAAAACATATTTATACAAAATATCCTTAATTGATAACAGCTTGAATACAGATTTTTTTTCAAAATAAATTTAACTCAATTTGGTGTTTGTTGCCTCTTTCAAAGTTGATAAACTCGACAAAATTGTAATATCACTTAATAATATGCCTTTTTTTTCTTTTAATAATAATAATGTTAAAATTTAAAACTGATAATGAAAGATACAGATAATAACATTCTAACAATTAATAGCGAAGAGTTCAAAATAAGAAAAATAGTTCGAAGGCTTCCTTGGAAGTTAAAAGATAAAAAAAAAAAAAAAAAAATTTAAGGAGCTGGANAAACAAAAAAAAAAAAAAAAAAAAAAAAAAGAAAGAAAACTCATGTTAGTATCATTCTCAAGCAGAATAACATTTTTAGGATTTCCCGGAAGTAACATTGTTGCGAAATACAGTGGCATTTATATATATATTTTCAAAATGTACGAGTTCCATTAAAGTTACCAACACATTGCACAATATGAGCAAAAAAATTGGGAAAATTGTTTTTAACTGTATTTGAATATGTTTTCTTAGATTTTGTTTATAAAAGAATGTGTGGAAAAGGAATTTAAATCATATAAGAATGCAAAAGATGAAGGAAAAAAAATATTTTTAAATGAGTTAAAATTTATAAAACAGGAAAAATATTCTAATAAATAACATAACAAGTATTTAAATTGAAATTAACTTTGTAATTTTATAGTTTTATTTTGAACAAATTATAATCTGGAATTGTAAAAGTATCTTAATAATAACAGCTTGTGAAGTATTTATTCACGTACCTATAAGGTTTTAAAACCATAATTTTTTATTCAATCCAGAATTTCCTCCAGAGATATTTTAAAATACTGTTTTAAAATCAATATGTGAAATGGGTGTTTGTTTTACACTTTATAATCATTCTAGAATACTTTATGAATCATTTTTAAAGTACTAAATTATTAATAAATAAATGCTTTATGAGCCGTGATGACTTACTGGTTAAATGCACTGAGGTGTCATTGCGAAGGACTGGGTTTCAATTCTCAGTGGCGGCTTGAAACCCACCCAGCTTCAGATCGATGGGTACCAGGTCTAGGAACTATGGCAACTTACGCGTAAGGATGACCACATAACCACAATCATGCAGTTGGTCTTGAAATTATGGAGCCTTAACCACCGTAACACAGCACTGCGGGCTATTGCGGGACTACTTTACTTTAGTTTTACATATTTAATGCTCATTTTACTCAACTTGATGGGTGAGACGAAAGTAAATGGCATAAAATGTGTAATATAAAGGTTTAATGTAGAGTTTCATTTACTTGTTTTCGCATGTAACTTGAACTATTTTTACTAAGACATTATGACTTAGTAAAATATAATCAGAAATTTTCTAAACAAATTGTCAAATTTATCATTCTTCTAGCTCTATAAGGTTCACGGCTCTGAAGAAACCTAAACCTTTTTTCTCTGCTATACATAAATGTTTCAATGAATAAGGGAAAAGTTAGATTTTTTTGTCGTAGAAAAGTCACCAGCTTAAAGCTCAGGAAAAAGAGGAGCTAACGTTCAGAGATTAATCTCAATAATAAGAAATCTCAATCTTAAGAAATCTCAATATATAACAATGATTTTCAATCATTTATTAATTTTTGAAGGAAAAAAAAGGCAACAAATCATACCCAAATGAGTAGAATTCTATCTCATAAAAAATTTAAAAAAAGTAATTCTGACATAAGATATGAGTACTATGGAACATTTTTGTATTTCTGTAATTATAAAATAAGCTTACAATAGAAAGTAAATGTATAACAACAGTTACAAATCAAAATAGAATTTAAAAAAAGAAGAGGAGCGGTTAATAAAGGATCACAACAAGGTAACTATTTAAAATAGCAAAATTTATATGGCTTAAAAATATCGAAGCCTATATTTCCTCTTCAATGATCTAAAAATTTTAAATAACTAAATAAATAGGACAGAATTTAATATTTCTTATTTATCACCAAACAAATTACCAATACCCATAGAGCATCGTATTTTGAGTAATTAAATCCTAGATTCGATGCAAAATAAAAATTATAATAGACAGTCAGTACAACAGATTTCTGATTCAAATAGGCTAACACGCTCCTATGTACCAATATCTTTCCAAATTTTGTTCGCCATTTACAGTTTGTAGAAATTCATGTTCAAACAGATTAACTAACAACATTAAAATGTAGCATTTTGAACTTATCTTCAAAAAGGTTGGAAAATTGCTGTGTGCTAATTTTAAATTTGGAAAATTGCTACTGAAAATTATTGCAAACCCTTCCAAATGAAAATATTGTATATAATCTCATGGCAGGCCTGCACACTAACGCAAATTGTTAGTGTAGACTCATTACTTCTAGCTAAGATATCAAGAATATTTTTAAAGTGCCTGTAGAAACTATTCTAAATTGTCCCTCCCTTCTGCAAAAGATATTATAAAGTTAATTTTATTATTTCTCTAAAAGGCTCAACGCGGGACAACTGGAACTAAATGAGGTTTTATATTTGTGTTTAAATTAATCGTATGTGGTGAAATAACTTTGAATCAAATTTATTAAAACCTTTTTAACAACTTCAAGACCGGCAAAATAAGAAAAATGTGCTTTCCCAAACCCGCATGCTCTGAGAGTATACGCACAAAAGAAAGCATATTACTTTTACGAGATGTACCGTATTAAGATCACGCCTGTGTGGTCTGCTAGAATTAGAAAGACTCGTTTTATATATGATACCATGAACGCACAAAAGAAAGCATATTACTTATACGAGATGTACCGTATTGAGATCACCCCTGTGTGGTCTGCTAGAATTGGAAAGACTCGTTTTATATATGATACCATGAACGCACTAAAGAAAGCATATTACTTATACGAGATGTACCTTATTGAGATCATGCCTGTGTGGTCTGCTAGAATTAGAAAGACTCGTTTTATATATGATACCATGAAAAGTTAATCGCGCTATGCTACATGTGTGATCACGGTTCTGAAAGAGTAAAATTATTATACGTTAAAAAAAATAACTTTTGCTACTGTCATGCAAAAATATGCATAACATATTTTCGAACATTTAAAAACTATAATGTTATCCTATTTAATCCCTTTTTCAATAAAAGAAATTCATTAATATAATCAGTAATCTTTTTATGCCACAACCTTGAATTGAGTGCGGAATAAAATCTATTTTTAGAGATTCATTCTACGTCTGCCTAACACATTTACATCCAATTCCGTAACCGTAACATGGTTTTGATTTCATTAAAATTCGTTATTTTTTTTCTCACACATTCGTTTCCACCAACACATTTGAATGCGTAAGGCTAAGAAAAGTTGACTTGGCAATAAGCTAAAGCAATTACTGACCAATACATGAATTCCTTAACTTTCCTCTGCGAAAACTATTCTAAGGTATGCATGGCATACTTGCATTTTTGATTTCTTGATAGATGAAAGTGCCCTGTGTGGATTGACCCTGCAGCATCCATCAGACTATTTTCAAAATTTACAATTTTATTGATGCATGTGTACATTAATTAATTACCAATTGATCTCGAAATTAAAAACGTAAATGAAAATTGTTTGGTCATGTTCTACGCAAACCTGAAAAATTTGAAGTAAAACAAGTTTTTGATTGGAACTCTTGGGGCAATAGAAAAAAAGGAAGACCTAAAAAATGCTTGGCACTGGACGATTGCAAACGAGTTGAAAATAGTAGGAAAAACGTGGTGAAAATCAAAACTGGCCACATATAAAGTAGGCGGAAAGCTATGATAGAAGCCCTATGTTCCAATTCGGAATGAAAAAGAGTATATACACCGAAGAGCCATTACATTATGACCGCCCTGTTAATAACATGTAGGACCACCTTTAGCCCTCACGTGGCATTGATTCCACAAGGTGCTGATAGGTAGTCTGAGGTATCTGGTACCAAGCGCTCACCAACTGGTCATGCAATTCCCTCACATTGCGCGAGGGGGTAGCGTGACAACGCAAATTTGGTTTTCCAAGTAGGACCACAAATGCTCTATTGGATTAAGGTCAGGTGAATTTGGAGGCCAAGACATGACTTGAAAGTCACTGGAATGTTCCTCGAACCAATCCATGGCGATTCGACCCTTATGACATGGTGCATTATCCTGTTGGTAAACACCATCCCCCGCAGGAAAAACTGTTGCCATGAATAGGTGAACCTGGTCTGCAACTATGTTCAAGTTGCTTAGAGACGTCAGGGATTGTTCTACGAGGATTATGGGTCCTAATGTGCCCCATGAAAACATTGTTCCTGGGCGAGAAACCATGAAAACCAGGGCGAGCCCATTGTTATTGTTGGAGGGTGGTCATAATGTAGTGGCTCTTCGGTGTATATGCACATTTAAACAGAAAAGTATTTTTTATTTTGAGAGATTTCCACGTTTGCAACAATAAAAGATTTGCCCATAACGTGGAAAAAGTTGGAATCTCTAGTATATTTACATCCTAATTATTTTAAAGCTAATGCAATACTTTTTTGTGTGTCTTTAAATTTCATTTTTAGGAGCACAATTTACTTTTATTTATAATTAATTCAGTTGATAATTTCTGTTACAGATTTTAATTCCAACTATTTCTCCCCCGCCTGTACTGAAGAGGGCAATCCAACGGTGGAATTTCCTCTCTGGATAACTAATTCCAGTATCAACGAAACTCAAGGGGAAGTGTCCATTACTCAACCGTGTAAAAGGGAAAACAGTTTACTCTTTTTGCTCCTCATGTGTGGTACCGTCTGGCTCGCCGTCTCCCTCTACAATTTCAATAAAACGTAAGTTTCATTCTCATTTTATGTTAACATTTTACAGAAATGGTACAAATGAAAAATACAATAATTCAACAGACAAGAATATGCTAGTTCCTGTCAAGGAATTTATGCTCATTTAATCAAGAAAAAGGACAAAATATAATTAGAAAAATGACATAATTTCATTGAAGGAGTAAACTAGACATATAGTACATCAATTCGCATTATGCTCCTTCAACCGAGATGTTATGTATTTTTTATCTCTTTTTGGAGAATGTCTGGCCTTTTCCTTTTATAATCTGTTATTAGTATTATTCGTATGCAATTTTTGAAATCCGAAAGGAACGCAAAATGCTACTCTAAAATGCAAATTAAAATTTGCATGAATAATAAGAGATACTCCAAAGATATTTTTTCATATTAAACTAGAGATAACTTACTACAGTATTAACTTACTAACTAAGCCAATAGTGCATTACTATAGTACATGCTCTAATGTAAAAATCCATCATATTCAAATTAATAAAACCTGATGTGTAAAAGTACACGTGTAAATTTTTTAACTTGTTTTCTAACGATCATGCTAATTTCCCCATGAAGATACTTAAGATTTTCCCCACAAATTGCCATAAGCTTTTACACTATGATAATACGATACTTTAATCCAGTTTTCTCTGTTGTGGTAAGAACAAGTGTGGAGGTAAAATTAAAATAAAAAACAATTTGAGATACTCATCGCAATCAAAAATTAATTTCCTTGGATATTGCAATAATATTTTTTCTTAAAACATTCAAGCAGTTTATAGAGCCTGGCCATGAAAATGACCATTCCTTAATAGTAATTATGTAGACTATTAACACATTTAAAAAGCTTACTGCCATTAAGAAGTATGTCAAATAAAATGTAACAATCTTACGTAGTTTTCAAGATAAAATTCGTCTGTGAAATTGATGGCATCACCAGATCATTGCAAATAATGGTAAAACAAAAGTTTGAACTTAAACTTGGCAAGTGTTTGAAAATACAATGTTATGATGAATGAAAAACATGTAGATGTAACAAAAGGTGTCCTTAATACCTTTTTCAATTCTCAGGAAAATCTATTTCGATCATTGCAGGATGGGAAACGAGTTATGTTCTCATGGAAAGATAATTCTAGATATTGTGGAATAAAGAGATCATAATAAACCAGAACGTCTATATATAGAGTATTTTTGAGATTTTGGAAATTTCCAAGATCCAATTTATGTCTAAAAAACTGTAAATTTTATAATAGAATCTACCTCAACAAAAAAAAGCAAAAATGGCAAAAAATTGTTCCTTTTACAAATTTTAAGAACGTGAACAAAATGATCTTCTTAAGAGCCGTTATGCAACAACCCTAAGTCTGTTTTTGAAACGTTTGGTTTGTCTTTACAATGATTGGTCGAAGGTCAAAATTTCGTGAAAAAGGTTCAGCAAATTTTCCAACAATTCTGTAATATTTAAGGTCATAAAATCGATGTCACATTTGTTTAATCAAAAAGGGTATACATTGATCGTATATTTATAGGACCAAGGTGACATTAACAAAATTTTTAGCACATAAGATTTCTCTATTACAGGTTTTAAAGAAAATAAATTATGTTCAAGTTTTAAAATTTTCAAAGTCAATTGTGTTCAAAAATGTTTACATCCTTAGATTCAAAAACTTACCTTCCCGTTTTTCGGAATATAAGATGATTCACAGTAAAAAAAGTAAAATAGTACAATCATAATATTGTAAATACCTTTTAAAGTTAAGTTAACCTTTTAAAGTTTTTTGCAAGTTAATTGATATAGGCTTATGTAGATGAGCCATTTCTTTATAATATACTTTTAATATTTAATAATCGTAACAAATTCTTTGTGATTTACAAGAATTACGATAAATTAAGTTTTAATTTGTAATAAATTGTCATTATATTTTACTTGAAACATCAATTATCTGTTCCAAAAAATTATCTCAGTATAAAATAAACTCTAAATAACTGGAAATAAACTCTAAAGATGCCATATTATATTCTAAAATTGCAAAGGGAGAAAGTGTCAGTTCCTTCAAACCATCAATTATATTTAGTGACACGAGATTATATTCATTTAATAGAGGTTAGCTCTTTTTCAATGTAACTAGTTCATCAAATTTAATCAAGTGATAAATTAGCCTATCATTTTGTTTAAAACAAAAATGTTCAGTGGAAAAGTATATTAATGTTCTCTTCATTTAAAATGCACTGGATGTATGCGAGAAAAAAATATATTGAGTTAAATTAATAATTAAATAATAAATCCGAGAGGTGATTTTTTTTTTACCTGTAATTTTATTTTAAAGGCTGGAATTAGTTTTCTCAACTTCCTTATAATAATTTCATCACCCCAGTTTTATGCACTGTATATTATAATTTAGTAATGATCATCAAATTAAGTTTATAAGAGTTATTCTATTCTAACAGCAAACATAGTTAAGCATTATTTTAACCATAAAATGGTTAATATTTTCAAAACCAATAGTTATATTCAAATTAGGTCTATTTTTATTCATTTTGAATAAATTAGTCTTAAGCAATAAATTCCATTTCGTTAAAAAAATTTATTGCGTAAATACAGTAAATTACAGTATATATTTTTTCTCATTAACATTCTACGGAAACCCAAATAAACAAAATTTTACTATTCTCTTTAAAAAATTCCACAGGAAAATCTAAAGGTGTTTGGTTTTTTTTAATGGTCTATATATTTTTAATTATCTACAGATTTTCTTTTGTAGCAGTAAAATTTTATTTTAAAACATTATAAAAGTAGACCTAATACTTTCAGATTTCGTTTTTTAGAATTTATTTTCTGCAGGCTTCAAAAATTAATAAATATTACCTAATTATTAAATTAATAAATAAATAAGAATAAATATTGCTGACAAAAATAGAATACTCTCACGACAGTCTGTTATAGAGACCATAATGGAAATATGGTCTAGATTTCTCCAACGATTTAGGAAAAAAAGACTTCAGAATGAGCAAGAAATGTCTAGGAAAAAATCGCCAGGGATTTTGTTTAAAAAGGAAAAGTAAAATATTCAAAATAACCTAGGAAAAGTATTAAAAAATTTCGTTTTCCAAAGAAAATCTTAAGATAATTTTTTACTAGGGAATCTTGATTTTATCATTGAATATCGAAATTGGAAGAAACTAATAAAAAATTCTGACTATAGTTTTGAATTTATTTCTTTTATTTTAATTTCAGACCGTACCTGCAGGCCAGCAAACGTGAAATACTGGCCGACTACGCCTTGCCTGTAGCAGTTATCTCGATGAGCTTTCTAGGATCATTTGTATTTAGAGATGTCGCCAGTAAGTATATATTTTTTTTAAAAAACAAGCACTGCACTACTTTTTTTTTCATTCCTTTTTCCGATTATATTTCATACACTGTTATAATAACAGACACTGCTGAATTCATGAACAAACACTGTTGTTGTTACGCTGTATAAGGCACTGATTTAGTTCAAATAAATTTTAATTGACAAAAAAACTGAGTATCCGATAAGTTCTCGTAGAGTTTCAAATCGAAAGTATTTTGAGTCATGAAATTATTTTGATTTTATTTTAGCAAAAGCATTCATTTTAATGTAGTAAAAGATTATATTTACATTATAAATTTAGGTTGGTATATTTCGACTTATAGATTTTTTTATCATGGGATAGATAGAGCGTTCACCTCCCAATAAGGCGTCCCAGGTTAGAATCCCAGCGATGGCTGGTTGGTTCGAATTCTGCTTCCGGCTTACACTGACACCAGTTCTGATTTAAAATACCCTCAGTGATAGATGGATCATGTGAGAGAGTCCCCTTGCCATCGGTCTAATCGTGAGAGTTTTTCGTTGTTTTCTTCTCTATGTAACGCAAATTCATCAAAAAGGCTAGTCTGTCCCAATGCTTGATCCATAAGTGCCCTTGTTTTCTGTGTTGGGTTCAAATTACAAGGCTACGGAGTTTAACATGGATAGCCGTAAACTCAGAATCGGGTCGGCTGTTCAACGACTAGTCATAAAATAAAACTTAAGTTTTTGTAAAGATAATAAAACACGCACTGCATTCATGTGAATTTCTTTCCGAACTCGCTGTATAAGGCTTTAAAATATGTTTAAATTTATGAATTTAACATATCGATATCGATTACCGCATGTTGAATTTATGATTTACCGCATGTCTAATTCATAAATTTAACATCTCATAACATATTTAGCATAACATCAATCATGTCGATTTCAGTATCTAAAGAGTACAACCTGAATAATCCAATTAGATCCAGAATTAAGATCCAGAGAACCCATTAATTGATGATACTTAGTGTTCGTTATTGGACAAACAGAATGCGACAGTGCTGACAGTCATAATATTCATAGTTTCAAGATAGGACGTAAACTCTTTCTTCGAAATCACTTTTTCTATACTTCAACACGAATTTTTACTTCCTAATCAATAATAATGATGGAAGTTTACCGCATTTTAAAAAAGCTCTTCTAACTCCGTGCTAAACCTCGAAAATCTAGACACCAATTTTTAAACGCGTGATTCTTGAATAGATACTGACCGCAAATGATGTTATGAGTTATAGGGTTGTTCTAGAAAAAAAAATCTCGGGAAGAAAAATATCTCCTGCATGCTATTAGAGAATCATGTCACTATATTCCATCCTCATCTTCTTATGGATAACGGTAATTAATGTTATGTTTTTTTAGTATTATACTTCAGGATTTTTATTTTATGCGTATGTTAGAATATAAATATTGTATGAGAACTAATTTGACATCTAATGTATTTATATTTATACTTTACAATAATTTTTACTGAAAAATATTTTTACAAAAAAATCTTTTATAGCTTCTATTTTAATTTTAGTTAAAAAAAAAATTCATCTTAATATGTATCATGCAGACTGTCCAGCGGTGATTTGACTGATTTCAGAATTAAAAATCTGAAAAACCAATGATGATAAAGGAATGAAACAAATGGTATATTTATTGGAAAAGTTGTATAAATTTTATACAGAAATTTTGTAATTGAGTTACAGAGGTCGCCAACAGGTGGCATTTCCAGCCATCTATGACCTGAGCGAACAGTTTTAACCTTAAAACAAGAAAGAAGTTTGTCGTACAGAATTTGGCCGTGTATTTTATTGAGCACAACGTGTGCTTCTGATACACACAAGTAGGTACTAGCATCAGTTCTACGGCATTTGTATTCGTTGCAGAAACTCCGTACAATGCCCAGCGCCACTTATTGGGAACTCTTGTAACTAAATTCTCACATATCTGCATTGAATTTTTACAGCTTTCACAATAAACATGCTGTTTGTTTCATTCCTCTATCATCCTTTCATTTCGTCTTTCATTCGTTTCGGATGTTCAAATTTGAAATCAGTCAGTTTTCTGCTGGACAATTTGTATATGTCTGATGTAATAAACATGAATAAAGTAAGTTAGTCGAATTTAGTCGGTAAATAATTATAACTTTTCGCAAATACTTTGGAAACTGAAAAATATAAGACATAAATACTTATAATCGGTTTATCATTTTACAGCTGACCAGTTCCGATATAATGTCAATTTGCCACTTACCCGAGCTCCGGTTGAAGAGCTTCCATGGCAAGCTGCTATAGCAGCTTTAGGCATGGGTTTTGCTCTTTCCCTTTTATTCTTTATGGACCAGAATATTTCAGCGGCAATGGTAAACAACCCTTGTAACAAGTAAGTTAAATACCTTTTTAAACAATGTAAATTTTTAGATCATGCGCCTTTTTTTTTTTTTTTTTTTTTTTTTTTTTTTTTTTTGCATAAAAAAATTAATAAAATAGGTTTTCAGAGCAAATTTTCCTCTAATTTTCTACTTATATTTTATTCGAAATTTTTTTACCATAAAGCTTTTCAAATTTTCTACGTGATTAGTTTAATATAAGTAAGTTAAATATTTTCCAAAATCCATGTTAGTAAGTTGAATATCTTTTGATATGATGTAAGTTTAAAAATAACACTTTTTCTTGCACAAATATTTTAATTAAATAAGTTTTCGGTATAATTTCCGCTTTTATTTTCTACTAATATTTTATTCAAATTTTTATAATATTAAGTTTTTAAAACTCGTATTCAATCAAGTACGTCAAGTACTCAATCTTTCACTTATCGAGTTAAAATATATTCTTTCGTGTATTTTTCTTGTGCTTCTTTATTTTCTGCAACCGATTTTATAAAAAAAAATTTGTTAAATTAAAATCTAAATTCAGAAAGCCATAAACTCACGTTTTAAAATATGTGATTAAAATTATGTTTTCTTTGTCTTTCATTTTGCTCAAAATTTTATTGATAATAATATGAATTTTGAATTATTTTCAGGCTGAAAAAAGGTCCTGCCTATCATTTAGATTTGTTTGTGGTGGGAATTGTGAATGGTTTCCTGTCCTTATATGGACTGCCATGGATGCATGGAGTCCTGCCACATTCACCCCTCCATGTTCGCAGCTTGGCAGATGTAGAAGAGCGAGTTGAGCAAGGACATGTGTATGAAATGTAAGTCATTATGCTTTTTGTAAAATACTTCGTAAATTCAAAAGCACTTCAAATAGTTATTGACATTAGTTTTAAAAAAATATTAAAATATAAACTAAATTGAAGACATAAAATTTAAATTTTCAAATCCAGCGTCGCGAAGAAACTGAAAATTTCCAAAGAATAATGTAGTGTTTACGAACCTGTCAAAGATCTCCATAACATTAAAAAATTTTATAAATTTAATGAGAAAAAAAATTACGAAAGATAATGTCGAAGAATCTGAAAACTTGGGCATCTATTCATGAGAGATGTCCAAATATGAACACCACGGGATGCACAATCAATGTCAAACTTATGAATTGACACCTTAACAGCCTTAAATATTAAAAAATACATACATAAGAAAGTTTTTTAAGTATCTTAAGTAAAAAAAAAAATCTTTTTCGAACCTTGGAAGGAAGAAAAGATTTTTTCGGTATACGTATTTGTCGGCCCATAAGTAAATGAAGATCAAGGGGGAAACAGTTTATGTTTATTATTCAGTAAAATAGCAATTGGATCACCATCTGTTGCATTTTGAGGATTATTAAGTTTAGGCAAATCGATAACATAAGAAATTGGTTCTCTTCAAGCGTTACGACACTATAAAGCTGGGCCGTGTTGAGCGAAAATGGCTCCTGCCCGACATGAAATTTGTTTTTTCTCAGAATCAGCTTTAATGGACATAAACTGTTCCTTCTCCTTAATCTTCATATGATTAAATAATCTGACATCTTGAGAGATGGAAAGTTAATGTGTTCTTTTACTTGTCATTCTGCTCTTCTGATCACTTGTTGTAATGGTTGAATCCTGAAAACCTAATTAAAACCTTTTCATTTTTCAAGCTATGTACTAAAATTAGAGAGAAATTGATATATNTATTTATATTTATATATATATATATATATATATAATTTCAAAAATCCAATCACGGATGAATCTGATACTATATTATGAACCCTCTCACACATAAAGTTTTCATTTGAGTTATGAAAAGTATGAAGATATGCTACAAACCCACTTAGTATCCCAAAGTTGAGGAAAAATAATTTATTTTTGGAAAATTTTGTCCTGTATAGTCAAAAATTGGTATCCTCATGTCCAAGTGGGGTCATGTGCTTTTGTGGTAAATTTTATAAACATAATTTTATTCTAGTAAATATAATTTCAAGTAAAAACTGAATCTTCGTACTTAATTTAAAAAGTATAAGGACACATAAAATAATACCAACATTTCCAGTAATGTAATATACCCATCAAAATAAATAAACAAAATATCCGAATTTCACATTCTTCGTGACTCCTCCATCGAGTTTCATATTCTTTTAACTATCGAGAATAGCCTGCCATTGGTGTGATTTCTAATAACTGATCGGAGTCCTCAAATGAGGAACATGCAAATAACAGGACAAATGCGAATCGGAAAAAAAGAATATATAAAAAGAAAATCTTTATAAATATTCTCATATGATGCTCATATGAGAATATATATGAGAGAAATAATATTTAGTTTTTAATTTTTAAAAAAAATTCTGAATTATTGTAAAAGTTAACTTTTGAGGCTAATGTGATTTCTTGTTTTAAATTTCTGACTTTTCTCTTTAATTAAATATGCCAAAATAAATTTTCTTGCAGTCTTATACGCTTATTTATTGAAATTAATTTACATTCAGTACTCTAATAAATTTATTTTCAATGTCTGCACTTACTTAATGGTATTAGTTTTACGCATGTGAATCATACGTATCACTAACTAATTAGAGTTAATTATTTAATAAGTTACGAAATCAAGCATACACAAAAACGAATTAATTTTCTCTAAATAAACATGTTTTTTTTACATATTTGGATTTCTGGCCATCAAAATAGGGGAGAGGGTAGCTGCAATTTGGAAATTGTGATTCTAATAGTTTTGTCAGGAGAGTGGTTATAAGTTTGGTCCCCTTATTGTTAAATTCCCTTTTTGCGCATTTGTCTTTATAACTAATTTCACAATTTGAAAAGAAAATTTCCCCTACTCATGAAACTCGTTTCCCTAAAGATAATTTTCATTCAAACAATAATTTGTTATAAGTATTTATTGTTTTTTATCATTTAATTTAGTACTAGACGAAAAAAAAATTTAAATTGTGAGTCATAGATTTTATTATACCATATTAATCTACGTATTTTTATAGAGCGAAATCTAAAGTTTCAATTGTTTTCATTAAGTAGAAGTTGAGAAAAATTAAAAATAATTATTTTAAAAAAAAATAGTTTGGTGGAGATGAAAAAAATATTGAAACATAGCGATTAATGCCTTAATTTGGTATACATTCACGGTACTTGACTTACGCAAGCCTAACGTAAATTTCATGCATGATTTTTCGTTGTTTTGATTCGACATCGTTTCTTTTTTAATTATGCAATACGATGTTTCCTTATGCCCAAAAAAATTCCTTACTTTGTTAAACAGCAAATAATAAAATCGAAAATTGTAGAAAGATTTCAAAGATGTGATATTTTTAGAATCATTATTGGATTTGAAATATGTGATAAAAAAGCAATTTTTAATCTATTTTTATAAACAAAGATGTGCAGCGAGAAGGTAAAAATATTTTTTGTAGAAATTACAAATAAAAAATTTTCCTATCTTCGTTATTTTTCGTACTTTGCTCCAATTAACCTTCTCAATAAATTCATTATTTCCAGAAATGAAATCTGTTTGAATGAAACGAATTATTGCTTGAAAGCTAAAACGAGAAACATATTAACTATTGTTATTTATCGAAGCTTATCCCATTAATTTGATGGCAGCGGTATTAAGGATTAGGATATGCGTCGGTTTACAATTATACTATGGATGCGTTAAATCATACATAGCTTGAATAATTTATTTTAAGCAATTAGTTAATAAATTTAATTAAATTAGGGTATCTACGTGCCTAACTTAAATTATAGTTAGGCATAGATAAAATTAGTCAAATAATTTCATTTGTTATCAAGCAAATAAATAATAAATTTGATATGTCTGTAACAAACACAAAGCTTGATGAACCATTTAGGGTAAAATTCCATGAGGAAAGGATAGTTAAAAATTATAATTTTCTACAAGTTCTTTATTAAATTGAAAAAAGTCGTTTTTATCTATAGATATTTAACACTAATATCAGGCATATATACCTATTTACACAAAGTCTTTTGACGAATATATTAAATTAGTTTCATACGCCACGTGTGATACAAAATGATGGAATCGTCCAATAAAGTTTTACAATAAATGCTATAAGATAAAAAAATTTCTTAAAACCTGTCTTATGTTACGCTTTCAACGTATCTAACCAACTGAACAACTGACATGAATATCAAGTAGAAAGAATAGTTTAGATCCATATATATANATATATATATATATATATATATATATATATATATATATATATATATATATATATATATACCTAATGTTTGGTTTTACTCTTTTATAAACCAATAAATGTGGTGAAATAAATTGCTTTGCTATCTTTGTTATCTTAAAACTTTATTTGTTTAGATTTAATTAAATCCTGTAAATTCAGTACTCTAATTTGTTCATCTTTAATTTTCATAAATTGTATACTTGTAAAGGTATTAGTTATGCAGATGGCATAATATTTATTCAAACCCCGAGAAATATTAGCCAAAGGAAAAAAAATATACATATTTTTGGTATTAAGAAAAATCTATCTAATGACTCCAAACTCATTCTTCTCTGCTTGCTGAGATTATGGCGACTCCTAGGGAATGGACATGGGTTTAGTGTAATTAGAGAGATTTTTCTAAATGCTAAACGAATCTATTTTATCTATTACCAGACGTGTTTTTCTCAAGACATTTGACTATTTGGACACTCTGATATATATATATATATTTTGTCTATTTCCGATATACCTAACACATTTTTTAATGTCTTGTTTGCAGAATTGTGAAAGTAAGAGAAACTCGTGTTACGGGAATAGTTTCTCACATCCTCATAGGCTTGTCAATTTTTTTGCTTCCCTACCCTATGGCCTACATTCCAACTGCAGTGCTGGATGGACTTTTCTTATACATGGCCATCACTTCGCTCAATGGGAATCAAATGTTTGAAAGAATAACTCTGCTCTTCATGGAACAAGTATAAATTTTATTTGTAATAATGGCAAACAAAACTATAAGATTTTCATTATTAATTAATATGCTGATGACAAAGGTATGGTCAAAAGTATCAGATTATTGTAAACTTTACTGTGTGTCTTGCTCTTTTGGAACACCAAAAAGTGCGGTAGTTTTTACCGAAGCCCTTTAGTAATGACTTTTGGTAAAATTAAAATTAAAATATGGCTTTATAGCCATGCTGTTTTGTTGTAAATGGGGAAAATGCTATTTTGTTGTAAATTTAGTACTTCTATAAAATGTGTGGTTATAAGAATTATAATTTCAAAACCCAAACTCTTCTGTCAACCGTTACCGAATGTAAAAATTGCCATAAGAATGGTTTAAATATTACATAATTTGGTTTTATAATTAGAGTTTTAGTTTTTTTTTACCTGAAACAACATTAGCATATAAGTATGGTAATTTTGCCAAAAAGGTTTTCTCCATGTATTATTCCTTCAAAAGTAGTACAGGTTTTAATTTCAATTTGAAAAATGGCTTAAGTTTAATATATTTGTGCATTTTTAGTTCAAAATTATCAAACAACAAATACCAATTTTTTTAACCTATTGTAATAATCAATTATGATTTGATTTTTTCACAAATTAAGAATCTTTCAAACTATCTTTATGATAAATTTTGTTCATTGTTTTGTTCATTCTTATTAATACTACTAATCAATACTTCTAATTTGATCGATTTTTATATCACTTATAGTTAAAAAATAATAAATATTGATTAAAAAGTTCCCTATGAAGGGTTAAAACTACTGTTATAATAAAAAAAATTTAAAAATGAAATACTATTAAAATAATTGATAAATCATGAAAACAATTATATAACGTTTTTTTCGAAAATATGTCTAAAAAGCTTATTTCAATAACAATTGCTTTCTCTAAAAATGTAAGAGTCTATATTCTCTATATTCTTGTAATTTTTGGGGGAATTTCAACATATCCTTCATAACCCATTAGATAGATAAATGAAAACTATGAGCTTCATTGCTAAAATAGAAGTATCTCGTATATATTTTTTTTCTTTCCATGACTCATATTTTTATTCAGTGTTTTTAAATAAACGGAATCAAATGCGAGATATTTCCTTTCAACGCAATTAAATTAAAGAAAGCAAAAGTGACATATTTTCATTCAAGCTTTGACTGTCCATTTTACCATATTAAGTTTCATATTAAATGTTTCCCAGAGGCCGTAGATTTGAAGACAAAGCAATCTACTGCTCACTGCTTCCATTCACTCTTGAGTATTTCTTTTTAATTTAATTCTTTTCTATGATAAATTCTGATTAAGCAGTAAAAGGCAATTCTTTATTAATAATTTATCCATATAAATTATGTTATATCTGTAAGCAATAGCCACTTATCGGAATCAATTCTTTTATTAGTTTAATATGATTACTCAAATGATAATTCAAACAGGCTATAGAAATAAAATAAAACGAAAACTAACCAATTAACGAGAGTTTTTTAATCTAATCTCAAATAGTAAAAGAAAACGGTGACAACAAAATCTAATTTGAAGCAAAGATCACTACCACAGCGTGTAGCTGTATACAATAAGTTGGGAAATAGCGCACTCTTTAAAAAAAGAAAAAAAAAGAAAAAGAAAAAAGGACGTTGCAATGAATCGACTTAAACAGAAACGTGATTCGCTTAAACACTTCAATAATGTTGCAGCAAACATTCAACAGTGGTTCAAAGTACCAATAGTATAATTCAATGTTACTACTAATCGATTCAAGCAGAGACAAAGTTCACTTAAACACCTCAATAATGCTGCTGCAAATTTTCAACAGTGGTTCAAAGTACCAATAGTATAATTCAATGTTACTACTAATCGATGAAACACCTCAACAATGTTGCAGCAAACTTTGAACAGTGGTTCAAAGTACCAATAGTATTATTCAATGCTACTACTAATCGATTCAAACAGAAACATAGTTCACTTAAGCACCTCATTAAGGTTGCGGCAAACTTGTAACAGTTTTTCAACATAGTTTGATTCAACGTTTAATTAATTTTTCTGAGATTGTAGCTAATCACAGGGAAAACTGAGCAAAAAAAGAAAATGTCTTTAATTCAGAAAAATGTGATTTGTTACAATTTATATACATTTCATATGAATTATATAATTTTTTTGAGTAATACATTAACGAAATTCACAATTTCAGGCTGCATACCCTCCAAATCATTATATACGAAGATGCCCGCAACGAAAGATTCATATTTTTACCCTTTGTCAAGTGTTTCAACTGTCTATAATGTGTTTCTTTGGATTTTCCCCTTGGTCATATGTTAAGATGGTCTTCCCAGTCATCATTTTTTTATTGCTTCCGTTCAGGTAAATATGTTTTTGCTTTATCCGAAAAATATGAAAGCACTAAAATGTCTTGATAAATGGACATCGAATCAAAATTCTAAACATAGATGCGTGAAATAATTTTAAAAGATGAATACAATTATATTAAACTAAGCCTCCCAAATTCCCACCTAAAGGTAAGGCAAATTTTAATTATGAAATGAGCTCCCCATTTTTTTTATTACGGAATTAGTTTCTTCAGGAAAAAAATCTCCATTTGATTTTAAGGTCCTTGAACTTTAGGTAATAGAGGGCGCTGTAGTCGCAAAGGAAAATCTCAAAAAATACATGTTAGATGGGAAGAAAAATAGTCATATTTTATTATTTGCAAAATCTAACTAATGACACCAAACTTGACCGCCCTAACCCTTGGAGTTATCCCAATTCAATATTTTTTGGACGCCCTGTGGAGAGTACTGTTGAATTTACCTAAGTCTTCAATTTCAATAATCCTAAAATTTTCAAATATTTCAGCATTTCGATGTACACTGAGGGTAAAAAAATCACAACGTCCATAAAAATTATTGTAGGGTAATGAAATTTTGGCAATGCGTATGTCTGAGTAACATATTTAATTGATTATAGTTTCAAGATCAGATCAAGAGATAGTTTCAAGTTAATGCAATTAGGAGAAAAACCATTCAAAATGTGAAATACTGGTACAGTAATAACCAGTGTAGCTACCAGAATTTTGAATGCAAGCATGCAAATGGGCAAACATTGTGTCATACAGATGCCGCATGTCATTTCGTGGGATGAAGTTCCATGTTTCCACTTGGTCAGTCAATACGGAGATAGTTAATGATGATTGTGGATGACGCTGAAGTTGTTGTCCAAGGATGTCCCATACGTGATCGACTGGTGAAAAATCTGGTGATCTAGCAGGCGAAGGCAACTGTAGCAGGCATTCTGTAGAGCTTGCAGGCATTCTGTAGAGCTTGTAGAGTTAAAACAACAATATGAAAGCGAGCGTTATCCTGTTAGAAATAACCCCTTGAATGCTGAGCATGAATGGCAACAAAACAGGTTGAATCATCAGTTTGATCCGACATACAGATTTGCAGTGAAGGTGCGTGAAATTATTACGGGAGTACTCCTGTTGTCATAGGAAATTTCTCCCTAGTCCATAACTCCAGGGGCAGGTCCAGTGTGTCTAGGTCGGAGACAAATCGGTAGCAGGCGCTCACCTGGCCTCCTTTTAACCAATATACACCGAAGAGCCATTACATTATGACCACCCTGCTAATAACATGTAGGACCACCTTTAGCCCTCAAAACTGCTAGCACCCGCCGTGGCATTGATTCCACAAGGTGCTGATAGGTAGTCTGAAGTATCTGGTACCAAACGCTCACCAACTGGTCCTGCAATTCCCTCACATTGAGAGGGGGTAGCGCGGCAGCACGAATTTGGTTTTACAAGTAGGACCACAAATGCTCTATTGGATTAAGGTCAGGTGAATTTGGGGGCCAAGACATGACTTGAAAGTCACTGGAATGTTCCTCGAACCAATCCATGACGATTCGACCCTTATGACATGGTTCATTATCCTGTTGGTAAACACCATCCCCCGCAGGAAATACTGTTGCCATGAATGGGTGAACCTGGTCTGCAACTGTGTTCAAGTAGCTTGCAGGCGTCAGGGATTGTTCTATGAGGTATATAGGTCCTAATGTGCCCCATTAAAACATTGTCCCTGGGCGAGAAACCATGAAAACCTGGGCGAGCCCATTGCTATAGATGAAGGGTGGTCATAATGTAATGACTCTTCGGTGTATGACTATTACTGGCAGGAAGAACCAACTTTCATCAGATAACACTATAGATTTCCACTCTGTTCTCCAGTGAGCTCTAACTCAACATCACTCACGTCGTAAGCGGTTGATTCTTCGTCTTCTTAAAGACATTCTTGACTAACAGTAACTCACTATGTCAAAATTTGACGAAAAATAACGCTTACGAACTGTAGAACTCGTATTTAAAGTAACCCTGATTTGCATGTTCACAGTGGTGATACTGAAGCCAAACTTATGCACCAAGCACGAAATTTGAATAGACATCATCTTTAAGTTGTATAAATAAGCCTACCAAATTTAGTTTATCTAGCACAACTTCTTGTTGTTGTTAGGATTTTCTTTTCCATCAGTGTAGTTTAAAATGACAAATTATATAAAATGTATTTGGAATTATATTTTCTAAATTGGACATGCTTAAATTGATTAAGGTTAATAAACAATGCTTTAAACAGTGTAAAAGAGCAAATAATAATGGTTATAGTTAAGCGAGTGTTTCGGTACTACAAGTAAATATCATTATCACTGCCACAACGCAGAATTATTTCTGAGTCTTGGTGATAATAATACGAAAAGAAAAGTAAAAGTTCTTGACTTTTCAAACGCTGTGAAGTAACCTCTTTTTAAAGTAGAGTGCAATAAAAAAGAAAAAAGCGTTAATAACTTTTGATCTTATGATCAGATTTTTAAAACAAAACTGAAATCTCAATTGTTTGAGGAGTACATCTTACATATACTAATTAATTAATGCAGAGTAAATGATATTTTAAACTACGAAATCAAGCACAAAAATGCGTTTCATATAAATAACATTCTTTTAATCAGGGAATTCTGTTTTTTGACCTTCAAAATATAGCAAGTAGCCTTAATCAAGAAATTATGGTCCCTAATAAAACCAAGAAGACCGGTCAAAAGTTCAAGTACATAATACTAATTTTTATTCTCACATATTTCTCCATATCTCTAGTGATTTAAACAAATCACAAAATCCTTTTGCACACAGTTTTAAAATTAGCTTAATTATGCAAAATATAATTTTTATAGTTTTTTATCATACTTAAATTAAATAATATTAAAAAATTAAGTTGCAAGAGTTTAAAAATTTTTATATAATTTTAAAATAAGTAGTTTGAAAAGACAAATCCATAATCTGAGGCTAATCAATCAAATTTTAAAAAAAAAGGAATTTTCTGCTTTTGGTGTAAACTAAATTTTTTCAAAGTGCATTTAATCAAGTTTTTATTTCACTGTTTCAATGTTACAGTTTCTAAAATGGGACAGTTTCATGTGGTAGAATAGTCTAACGGGGTTATAATGGAGCAAATTTTGATTTAAGCAAAGTATTGCTAAGTTCATGATATTTGAGCTTAGTAAATGCAAAAAAATTAATAAATAAATGTTAACAAAATATTTATTTATTACTTTTTTTCCTTTTTTCTTCTTTTTTTTTTTTTTTGTTTGTTTGTTTACTGACAACACATATTTTCATGCACATAAGCATCAATTTAATGGCTTAATTGCAAAAACATTTCGTTTAAAAAACAACCACATCTTAAGTATTACATTCACACTAATTCTTACTAAAGATTTTTATTTTGTCGGTTTTATATATTTTTTTCACAATAGCTGCAATTCTGTACTTAAATATATTTAGTTTGCCTCAACACTAAAAATAGTGGCAAGTACACACCAACATTTTTTACAGTGTATTGATTGCTTTCATGAATATACAATTGGTACACTATATGTGCATAATTTCTGCTATTTTTGACATTTTGAGAATTAGAAACCCATATCTGCTGAAAAGAATGTTTGTTTATTCAGAGAAAGTACTATTTTATGTTTATTCAGAGAAAGAACATTTTTTTATTTCTCTCTGTGTCGGCTGCTTTAAATAAATGAGCATATTTTAGACACACGTAAAACCATTAAAATTGTATCTTATTATGCGCAAAATTGATTAGTAAATCGTAAATGATACAAAATGTGTCGTTTTATTTTTTCTTCTTGTGTTAACTGTACTTTTCAATCATCCCAAATTAAATGAATTAGGCATCATAAAATTACTATTTTACCTGCTTTTTTATTATGATGAAATTGGATAAGCAGGTACCCAGACCTACAAAACTGAGTACTGTAAATTTAAATACCACTTTTTTCTCTATTAAATATTCGAATTTTAATAGGCAAACGTTTTCATAAGACATCGTTGTGCATACACAAAATTTATTTCGTTTTATTCTTTGTCAAGTTGATCAATTTACATGATTTTTTAGCTCATTCCCAATTTCCCATTTCATCTGAAATTCTCAAGATTTTAAAACGCTCACAACTGCTATTCTATTTGTATATATTTATCCTTCATTGTTACTCTTTAAATCAAAAGATGAATATGATTAAATCATTTTGCAAGCAGCATTAATGTAACGCTATTTTTACAAGTTCATATTTAACTCAGCAATTAGTAAAAGTACTCAATAAAAAGTAACAAGTCTGTGTTAATAAATGGACTTATTCATACAACTAAACACAAACATATTGCTATTTAAATTTTTGGTATGATGCTACCTTAACTTTCAATAAAAATGCAAACAATTTTCTTATAAACTATTTTATATCAGAAAAACACGCTTATATTGTTGGATATTTATTATAGTATTTTAATAAACTATTGAAATCTGTGCAGAATTAATTTAGAATTATTTATTTTAACTAGGCACAAGGTTGTCCCGTGCCTTGTTGATAGAAAGTATTTGGAGGCTTTGGATGGCGAACATCAATGAAAATGAACTTAGTGCTAAAGCTCAGTAAATGACAAGTCCTTTTTACTTTATTCTCTCCATAATGGCGGACGCTTTTCAAGGAGAACTTAGGTGCCTCATAGATTCCCTGGTCCTCATACACGAGTGCCTAAACCACTTGCGTTGCAGCCCTGGAAATACATCGAAAACACGAGGAAGCCATACAAAAACTAATGCTCAGACGCCTTTTTTAAAACTCACTGTCTGCAGGTACAGAAAATATCACTTGAGTTTACTTTAAATATTCCAAACAAACAGTTCCAGTTCTTATTTAAAGTTCGATATGAGCTAGTTTAATGTATTTTTAGTAATTCCCACTACATGAATAAATTCCATGCATTTCAAAGAGCTGAGTTACCTTGAAAATAACCTTTAATTTATTCAAGACTGAAGAAAAGCAGTAGTGGCTTCCAAGGAATGAGATGCAACTGAAAACAGAATTGCCAAGAAAAAATTCCAATTATGGAAACCTTTTCTATTGAGGGCTAGGAACTATTATCTTCAAAGGCAACCAATTTTTTTCTTTAAGTCATTTCACATCAACGAGCACTGGTCATAATTTCGCCTTACTATAAAACATTATAGGGTCATATCGATTGGGTTTGATAAACAATAAGACAATCCAGGCTTAATTACATAAAAGCACATTAGATATAAATCCTATTCCATTCCTTTTATTTCAATTAAAATACAATACCTTCACAAACATAATGTAGAGAATTTTTACTAATGTGTTACTAGTGTTTATTTTATTAAGCAATCATAAAAATGGGATTTGTAATTGTCTTATTCTTTTCAATAATTGTAAATGCATTTTTGTTTTAATTTATTTTAGATTCAATTTTCTTTTTATCTTTATTTTTAACAGCACAAATGAATCTAATAACAGTTTTAATAACTTTCAGTGAACTTCCATATTTATTTATTGTATCCTAAAAACATCTATTTAATACCAAAAGTTTATTCATTTAATGACACATTTTTTTTACGAAAAGAACCTGAATTACAACAGTAATTGTTTTCAGAATAAAATAATTATTTAATTTAACTAATTGTGATTTATAATGGAACTTAGCCTTCTTTAAATTATTAAATTTTTCAATTTACTTTTGTTTACAATAGGATATGGCTTTGTTGGCTTGTAATCTTCTCAATATCATAATATAGAAATCTCTTGGTTTGGCCAAAAATATTCATAAATTTTTCCGAATTTTATGTAATATTTGTTTTTAGATCACTTACTCTGATTCTTTCGCTGAAGATAATTTTTGAAATTTCTTTCAAACATTTCCGACTGTTAGTATGTTTTTTTTATATTCTTACAATCTATATGGAAAAAAGGCAATGTTTATAGCAATTTTAAATTTTTTACTTTTGTTTCTTATATAAATAAAATTATTTAGCGAATTGCTTGAAATGTGTAATCATTTTTCTCAGTGAAATTTTTCTTTTAGCTTTTTAAGCGAAATAGATTAAGTTATCCTTTCGCTTCATTATTCATCTTTTTATCAAATATCGCTAAATTACTAACTTTTTTGCTTGTTCAATCTTGAGTAGTTTCATTCATTGATTTACTAATTCTTTTGTTAGTTCAATTGTTTTTTAATTAATTCATTGAGTACAAACTCTTTTGTTGATTCAAGATTGAGTTGATTCATTCATTGAGTTGCGAACTCTTATGTTGGTTCACGATTGAAATTCATTGATTACTTACTCTTTTGTTGGTACAGGATTGATTTGATTCATTCATTGAGTTGCTAACTCTTTTGTTGGTTCAAGATTGAGTATATTCATTCATTGATTTGCTTACTCTTTTGTTGATACAAGATTAATATCATTCATTCATTGAATTTCTAACTCTTTTGTTGGTTCAAGATTGAGTATATTCATAAAGTGATTTACTTACTCTTTTGTTGGTACAAGATTTATTTGGATCATTCATTGAGATGCTAATTCTTTTCTTGGTACAAGTTTAAATTTATTCATTATGTGAGTTCAACTCTTTCGTCTCTAATTGGTTTAATAAAATTACTTCTCTTTGATTGAATCAGTAAGTAAATTTTATTAATGATTCGTTCTCATTATTTCTTTTTTGAAAGCTTCAAACATATATTTCCTCCAGTAAAAGGCACCTCAAGTAATCGCATTTATACTTTTTATCCGAATCGTTCAAACTGACTGGAATATTCTGTTTTCAACAACGAAATTTATAACGTTACACAGCTAAAATACTTTGAGATAGTTCAAATTTGTTTTAATTATTCGTTGATTTTTGAGATTCATTTTGATGTATTTAATTAGGAAACAATGTTATTTGATTAAATTTCTTTTGCTGTTGGTCCTACTTACAGTTTATCTCTTCTAACCTGGTATATTTCACGTATATTAAGTTGTTAGTTGTTATGTTATTTCTTCCTATTACTGGATGTTTATGGAAATAACCATTCTTGCGTTATTTTCAGAGTAATTTTTTATTTTCTTACAAAAATTACAATCTATTGTTAGCGCCTATAAGTATTTAAATTTTAAAAAAACGTTACTTAAATGATTATCTTAGGTGTCCGCTTTGCTTCTATGCATGTTTCAATGTTGTAAATGTTGACAGAGTCTATGAACGTTATCTATGTTCCATTATAACATAAGAATAAATTCGTCATTTAATGATATTTTTACAGGACTAAAAACGTACACTTCTGTGATGAGGCCAACACACTTAAAACAAACACAACAAATTTATAAGGGTTCATAAATATCAGTACATAATGTTTTCGTAAACTATTAAAAACCAAAACTGACCTAATATAGTATTCAAAGTGCTTGAACCAAGAATGATTATATAGGCGACAATTTATTCACACTAATGTTTTTTTCTCTATCAGTTTCTATAGATGTATTTTTATAAAAAACAAAAAGCAGTGTTCGATTTTAAGCTCTTTCTGTGAAAGAATACTGCAAACAAAAGATGGTCTTTACTGTAGACTTCCAGTGACAAATCCTTTTTAAACGTAGATATTTGTCCTAGAATTTTAAAGAGGATAATCCTGATATAATCGAGAAGATAACTGCTATAGGTGAGGTGTAATCGGTCAGACCCTCACGCGTAAAATCTATAAAAAATGAACAACACGTTTCAATCAAGATTTTTTCTTAAAACTCATATCAGGAAAGAAAGAAGGCAGAGAAACTTTGAACTCTTCGAATACTTCTTTTTCTAGATTGAAATACTATGTCTGTTGTTGAAGTCTTTCAGTTTTCCGCAGAATAACATTCAACCAACGAGTGAAGATGAGTCCACACAATTTTGTTCAGTTCATAGATGAAATTTTTAACAATTTGTCTTTTCATCAAGAAATAGATGATTGACAAATATTTTTGTAATCTCTTCAGTGCCAATATAGAATATACCTGGAAGCATTAATATAAAAATAGAATAACTTGCAAGACATCTAAAGAAAAAGTCTAATAGTATTAGTAAGTTTCACTTAATCTTAGTTTTAAATCCAGCAAAATCAGTGTTCTAAAGCATCTAGATTTGTGTTCATCTTTTTAGAAGAAATGTAAGCTGCATCCAACCCGGAGAACATTTACTAAATATTTGCTTCTTAGTACTTAGAAACAACTTCGTTCATAATTTTTGTTATTAATTGGAGTGCTTGCTTAATTGCATGTGCTGTACATAAAGATGTGTGCCTTGGAATTGGAGTACAGATAAAGTTAATTAAACAAAACAATCCACAAATTATCTATTCAAATTTAATGCGTGAAACAGGGATGTATGAAAGATATTTAAAAAGAAAATAATATTTTAAGGTGCTGTTAAAGTCCAATTCATTAGCACTGATAAAGAATTTTTTCAATTTCATGACCTTAGCATTTCTTTAAAATATCGAATTTTACTCTTAATACTTGATTATTTAAAGCATACGAGGTATTTTCTACGGGTGAATATTATCGTTTTTATACATCCCTGCCTTCTGAATGTGTCAAAAATTGTAGCTCTAAAAATAAATGTGCTACTCTAATTATTTATTCATTTATTTGTGTTCACTATTTCCTGAATTATGCTGTTATTATCTGTATAAAAAATTTTATGAATTCACTATTGATATATATTGTACGCATCATACATTGGCTCATGAAATACAAAGTAATATTTTCTGAACAGTTAAAATTATTTTTTCATTTTTCATCAATGTATTACACCACGATCATTATTCATATTTCAAAATAATATTCTTCTGTGTGTAATTCTTGATACATTGAAAATGAAAATTAAGGTCAAAATGATAAACGTAGTAAGTGTCAAAAACAAATAAAATGTTAAGATATCGGATAAACTGATGCAGCACTTATCTGGCAGATGAATTTTTTCCATGTTGAAATCATCTCAATTTTTAAAACTCTGTTCACCTTCAGCTTTATGGCTTTTCTTGGCAGTCCCGTCATACAGACTCTTTTACATTCGAATTTACTGTGCATCTCTTTGAACTACAAAAAATCCTTACCAAGCATGTTTTAAATTGGCCTTATACCACACTATTTCTCTTTTATTTTTTATTTATTTCTCTATTTCTCTTTATACCACACTATTTAACACTCTAACATACAATTGACGCTTACTTCGTTTTCCACTTATTCAATAATCAGTCTTCAAAAGCATAATGTTTCATTGAGTTGTTGTTTTTTTAACTTTACCACTTGATATCGTAGAAAATATTTTTCAAAAATTCATTTAAGTAACACATTACAATGAAAAAATGAAAACGACAGTCCCTTGTTGTTGCAGCTATTCATTAGGTATCAGAAAATATTACTTCATTTATGATAAATATATGTTTGAGCATTGTAAAAATTTCAAAAAAGTTAAGTGTGGTATATATATACATTTTTATTTGAACTTGCTTAATTTTGTTTTAAAAAGCAACTTAACAACACATGTTTTGCCATTGTTAGAAGCAAGTGCTTCAACGATTTATTGGCAATGACAGATAATATGGAAAAACTTTTGCTAATTAGCAGAAGTAAAAGAACTAAGGCTTATTTTTATATAATGCTCTTTGAACTTGAAAATAAAATTCCTTATAGAAATAGTGATGGAAATAATTATGAATAAACTAATATTCTGATATTCAAAAACATAGTACAACAGATGTATGGTCAACAAATTGTGAAAATTTAGAATGACGAAATGGCATATTTGGTGGTAGCTAAGCTTTCTCCTAAGATCATATGATTGTGTTTTAGACACTTCTTCATTCACTCATACCTGCCAATTGCCCCCATATAACGTTACTAAAACACGAAATCTTACAAATGATGTTGTACAGATACTAAGAAACTGCCGAAAAAATAATGAAAACTGCCGAGGACGTACAACTTCTGAACAAGGTACTTCAGAAAGCTGCAGTACCAGATATATATTATGACTTTATTCATCAGTTCCCAATTGAACTCTTATAGAATCTGTGTTGTGAAATGTATTCATATTTATAAATCATTTTATAAAGTGTTTATGTGTAACAGAGTGTTATGCAAATAATTCTGTTGGCAAGCCCCGATTAAAATTATTTATTATTTTTTTAAAGTACCTGCAAAATAATTCTCATACTTGATTTTGGCAAAAAAGAAGTATTTGAAGACAGTATTCAAATGCTAAATTTAAAAATTTGAAATAATACGTGGCTTGCTAACAGTTAGTTCAACACTGACTTTCACTAATGTGTGATATTTAGAGAACTATATTTTTGTTATATTATTTCATTACATTACTGGTCGTAGGGTGAAAAATGATTTTCTTTTCTCTTGTTACTGTAGATTTTGATTTGAGCATTTTTAAAGCTTCAACTAACACTATATGTCTAG